CATATGTCTCGTCTACGCGTAATGGGTAACATCTCGCCCGAATCCTTTAGTAACATGGCTCGCGCTTCCAAATCAATGGCGGTTTGGAACATTCCTAGTGCATCCGTTCCCAGGATAGCGTCCAAATGAAGGCTGTCCGTCACTATGAGTGGCACTTCCTTGTCGATTGATCCCAACACAACGGGTAGGTTGTTCATCCCTAGCGCCTTAATGACGTGTTCCGAAGCGTCACTCAGACCCCTTATCCCTCCGAAAGCTACCTTGTCCCGGGGCGGGGCACCTCCGTTCTTGCCCCCGTTACTTCACTCCCATAAGGAGTGGAACCGTTAGCGTTCCGATTAACTTCGGTTGCGTCCAAAAGTATTCCGTATACGCCCTTCCGAACGGCAGAGCGCCAAAAGAACGGAACCGTCCATTTTCTTCAGGTACATCGACTTCTTCGTCTTGAGACCGAAGTACACGTTCCGCACGGCCTCCGATTCAGGCGCCGCAGCACTCTCCATGAGAACGCCCTTCTCACTGCCCTTTGCAACGCTCAATCTATCTTCCACACTGACCATGACGCTCTGTAACTGCCCTAGGCCTGCCTCATCGTAACCATACGTGCCTTGAGCAGCAGGCATCGCAGGTAAAGCTTCCCCTCCGTTATGGTTTTGAGGATCAACATTGGTCTCAACGTCACCGATCTGAACGCTCGTGACTCCGTTCCTTTTCAAAAAGTCTTGGTTAGCGCGCTTGAGCTCGTCAACCGTAGCCAACTTGTCGCTGTACCAATCCAATCAGTATTTGGGCGTAGAGAAGGCCACCTCGATCGACTGTTCCAACATCTCAGCTAGGATTTCCAACTTAGCACCCAGCGCCTCAATGCTGATCTCCATCTATCCTTCGGCGTTCTGCGGCATCCGACTCTGTAACTCCGCTTCGTCCAACAGGAATGGTCGTTCTTCGAGTTTTTTTTTCGTTTTCCTCGGGTTCGTTTTCAGCCACCTTATATTCACTCCGTCCCAGCAGATTCAGTTCTGCCTCGGTAAACAAGCGTCCGTTCTGAATGCTCCGTTCCTCGCTCTTGGTACATCCACTCTATTCCTCCAGCACCCTTTCTTCCTCCTGGCAAGCGTTCGGCTTGCCTTCAAGATTATTCATTTCGAGGTCACGAGCAACGGATTAGTGCACCACTTCTTAGTTCGCAATGCAGGACTCCTTCTCCATATTAGCGATCATCGCATCATCGACACTAGTAAGCGTCCGTTTCCTCGTAGTTCTGTTTTCGGCCAACGTATCCGACGTCTCTGTTCCCAGCGTCTCACTACTTCCGTTTCCGTTCTAGGCCTCCTCGGACTGTCCGGCCCGCTTGTCCTTACCCTGTTCTCGAGCAAAAACAGCTCCACCACTCTCCTCGCTTCTTTCGTTTATCCCAGTTGTTGTTTCTCCAATTCGCTTACAACAGGAACGACATCAGTTTTTTTTTCCTTGTCCTGTACCGTTCCCTTGCACCCCAGAACACCTGGCGGCTAGCCAACACTCCAAATGGCAGACGACGCCGCGCTCCCCACTGTGGCTCTCTTTAGACAAGTGAGGGTGCGACTTTCCTTCCCATTCCTCATACTCAATTGGGGTGTTGGGGCTGCGGTGAAGGTTGCCCTTGGGCATAACCCTTCATCATTCTCTGCAGTGATACCACTATAGGGCACCTCCAGACCGGGTGATCCATCGCCTCGCAGAGCGAGCGTGGACCAGAACGGTTATTCGCTGAACGCCTTCTGCCGTTCCGGTTGTTGCCGTTTGAAGGCAATATAGGCCGCGAATACTCCATCGAATAATGGCTAACTCTATCACAGCGGTTGTACGTCCCAGTTGCACGAGGACAAGTAGCTTGGTTGTATTCCTTCGATTTCATCGTCCACACACCGTCTCGCCTAAACGAGGTGAAGCCGCAGCTTGCCTTAGTTACTGCTGAATCAGCATCACGCCCATCTTTTGAATCTGCTGCAGCATCTCCTGTTTCCTTCTTGGCCGTAGTCGTCATCATGTTGTCGACAAACTCGTCCGCTCCTCCATATGCAAATGAAGATTCTAGTAGAACAAAAGCGTGCAGACCTCCTCGATCGACGTCACCATGCTAGAGTTCAGCTTCGCGCACGTCTGCCCGTTGGGAACGCCTCTCAGGAAGAACTTGTAGCACATCCGAACGTCACTATAGACCAACGTGTAATGGAACTTAATGATTCTGGCGTCCGCATCTCCCTTTACGTTCATGGTCTCCGTCACACCGCCACCATCCCATCGCCCGTCAGAGCAGGGTCGTGCAAGCTCCAGCTCATATGGTCCAGCATTGGACCACTCACGGCCATCGTAAACACCAAGCACTATGCGGCGTAATTCTCCGCAGACGTTCCCTCCCCTCTGGCTTTTCACCGCAGCTCCTTGATGCTCTTGGCTCGGCTGGGACTGGCAAGCTGGCCATCCCAGTGAGCATCGTGAGCGGTTCCTCGTGTTCGTCGGTCGTTGCCTCGCCTGGCCGATCTAAACAGCTGCCGCGCCCAGCTCGTCGTACGCCAGTTCCTTTCCCAGCTGGGCCTTGCCAACTTCGCCGTCTCCAACGGGCTCGATGTCCTTGCACATCTTCGTCGCCTCACCCGGAGCCACTTTGTCTCCCTCTTACTTAGACTTGTCAAACACTGGCGTGAATTTGTCGTACACATGCAGCCAATCTTTGAGGGGCTCGTCTCCATCCACTCTATAATCCCCGTAGGGCGACATAGTCTCCTACAGCTTCTTTTCCTTAATCGCTTGCCATTCTTGAGCACTGGCAAAGCACCCTGCTTCTCCACCAAATTGGCGCGGACTCTTCAAGGCTGCGGGTTCGAAAGTACTTCATCAGCTGTAGATAGCGGTCAATTGATAGAGAAAAGAGATAGGATATGCAGCTTTTTGTGAGTTTCTGTCTTCTGTCCTTGTCTTGGAAAGTTCGCGACTGCCTACTTTTCTTGTCGTCATTCCTTCCGCATCGAGGCCAAGTACCTGGCATGTCAGCATCATCTCCCTCGCAGTGACGACCGTCCTTAGATCGCTGCACCTCCGCGCTGCTGCAGTCGTTGTCCTCCGTCCTTGTCATCCCCACGGACCTTGGCGACCCTTGGGCTCGGGTCATCTTCTCGTGATGCCTGCTCGCTTCAATGACTACACTTGGCATTTTGTACCATCCAAGAATGGCTCCATCGAAGCCACTCTGTCAGCCTCTTCGCCAGCATACCGTGTCACTTGTCCGGCAAAGCCTATCAGTCCCCCTGCCCGTTGCGATCCGTGACACTTCAGTCAAAATACATCATCCATGGCGGTGATACCCTCCTTGTCCAGGTTATGGTGGTGCACCGCGCGCAGCAATTTTGTGGCCAAGTACGAGACCGGAGGTGACGCCAGCGCTTTTCTGCGCATTAATAGCTACCAGGTCATTGCCTGTCATGAAACAAGATGAAGATCGTAGATTCCGCTAGCCCATGGATCTAGCTCTGTTCGGGACAAGTTAGGATGCTAGCATGCTGTTAGCATGTTTGTAGAGCAGTCGTTGAGTGTTGGTGCGTGTGAGGCGTACTGCTTGGGCTTAAAGGGGGGGGGTATATTGGTGTGGCGAGGGACACTAACAATACGAGATCAAGACAGAATGAAACGCCAGTAACGAGCTACATCCATTAGTAAGTTTGTGCACTGTTTCAAGCTATAGGTACTCAGACCAATTTTGTGGTATAGGAATACCCTGGGACAGGAATAAAGGGTGGAGCGTCATGACTACCGAGGGGATCGCCTGTAGCAGCACAGGTATTAGCAGGTTGGCAAAGGGTTACACCGTTTTATGCTAGTATCCGTCCCGAAAATGTCACATGTTTACCAGAATAGATTGGATTATATTAATGCAATTTGTGAGATCATTTGTATAAGGCGAGTACCTTTTACAGAGGCCATCCACAATCAGCCGCAGTGTGACGGGGTCACACAGCACCTTGCACTGAGGAAGTAGGCTTCCAAAAGTATACAAACTCTAAGTCAACGACACTTCACGTGTCCCTAGTCTGAGGAGACGAAGTACTCAGTTAAGGATACGTTTAAGACTGAATGTATTTAAAGGTAAGCTTAGCTTGGTTTCTAATACAAACTATAAGTCACCTATAGTAAAGCTATGTAGATATGCAATGATTGGCTCCTAGAGTCTCTGGTACGATGTCCCAGGTATTACAAGAGTGACAGGTCACTCTTCATGTAACTTGGGTACACTGGATTGTACCCCGTTACATCCTCCCCCACTTAGGTTTGATTTACCGACCAAGCATGAAGAGTGAGACCGAGTCACATACCCTCATTCTCCGAGTCAAAAGAGATTCGACAAGCTGCGGGAACGCGGCTGTGGCTCACTTCATAGTTGGAGCCTTGAGCAAAAGCACTCGCTTCTCGGTTTCCATCTCGACCACGTCAT